CTTCAAGCAGTCATCAGGCTGTTCTAATTTATATGGGGGGCAGGAGCGGGGTCCTGAAAAGCCCTAGACTATGGATGGCAAAAAGTAGCTTAAAGCTTCCTTTGTTATGTTCCCACAAATAGACATGCCTACGCAGAATGCAGGCACGGGGCAGTGCTACAGTAATACAAATAAATAATAAGAATGACACAGAACAAGGGAACTCCTGAGTGCAGTGTTCAGCAATCATTTTGTTCCTAGAGCTCAGTGCACTCAGAGTCTACACACACACACATATATACTGTGATATCCTATGGAGACTTGACTTTTGTTCTTTCTCGTTTTGTCATTCTCTGAGGCTAGGATTCTGCCACCCTCACTCACGATGAGTAGTAGTATTGTACTCACTCATGCGTGTAGTGTCAATGGTCTGGCAAAGCTAGTAAATCTCTCCAGGACCTTGACAAATTTCTTAAGCCTCATTAGAGCCTCCAGGAAACCTTAGGAAGGTTATCCTAGCCTAGAGATTGGCAAACTACGGCCCGGAGGCCACATCCGGCCCTCCAGATGTTTTAATCCAGCTCTCGAGCTCCCGCCAGGAAGCAGGTTCTGCGGCTTGCCCTAGTCTGGAGCTCTAGCTGGGGAATGAGGTCGGGGTCTTGCCCCACTCTGCACGGCTCCGGGAAGCAGCGGCACATCCCCACTCCAGCTCCTATGCGTAGGGTCAGCCAGGGGGCTCCGCACACTGCCCCCACCCCAAGTGCCACCCCTGCAGCTCCCATTGGTCAGGAACCACACCCAATGAGAGCTGCAGGGCCAGCGCCTGAGCACAGGGCAGCGCACAGAGCTGCCTGGCCGTGCCTCTGCATAGGAGCAGGAGAGGGGATATGCCGCTGTTTCTGGGAGCTGCTTGAGGTAAGCGCCACCCAGAGCCTGCCTCCTGACCCTCCCCATGCCCAACCCCCCTGTCCCAGCCCTGATCCCCATCCTGTCCTCCAAACCCTTGGTTCCAGCCCAGAGCACCTTCCTGCACCCCAACTCCTCACCCCAGCCCCACCCCAGAGCCCACACCCCCAGCTGGAGCCCTCATGCCCTTCTGCACCCCAACCCCCAATTTTGTGAGCATTCATGGCCCGCCATACAATTTCCATACCCAGATGTGGCCCTCATGCCAAAAAGTTTGCCCACCCCATCCTAGCCCAACCTGCCAACCTAATGTTCCTAGTTCAACATTTAATAATGATTCTAAATTTGACTGTAAAGTTCAGAAATTCAGAGCTGTGCCCTACTGTTTGGCTAAATGAATCCTGTAAACTTAATCTGAATTATCTTCTAGTTTCCATTTACTAGCTAGTATCTTGCAGAAAGGTGTTAGAAGTTGATAACTGTGAAAAACACCTTTTTAAAAAACAAAAACAAACCATCTAATTTATAAGCAGTTTGATTGTTCAATTGTGGAAATATTCTCCATTCTCTACTGATTATTAGAACATTAACATTTGATAGGGTTAAAAAAAATGAGATAAATTATGCATCAAGGCCAAATCCATGCACTAATTGATGTAGGTGAGGCAGAAATTTCCCCTGTGGGTAAGTTATTCCATAATTGTTACTCTGGGGTTTCTTGCATCTTCCTCTGAAGCATCTGATACTGGGCGAGGTGCATCAAGTATGGGAATTCTATGTTCCTATTACCCTGTGATGAACTCCATGTCCCCCAGGAGCATGTGTTGTGGGGAAGAAGAAATGGGCATTGTATTCATGTGTTTTCCTATTTAAAACAAAGGCATTCACCCTCTAAACAAAAAGATTATCTCATAATCAGCATTAAGAAGGCAAGCAGAATCACTGGACAAACAATCTTATATTAAGTGTGTTTTGTCGGGGGGGGGGAGGGGAAGTATATTTTGTTCCTGCAATATGTACTGAGTAAATGGATGTGCAGTGTCCATCTTGAAGTGAGGGTGTGTGTATGAGTGTTAGGGATCTTCTTCCCCAGGAAATGTTTGCAAAGAACCTGTTCTTTGGTTCCATATAGTCCACTGAAAAGCCCAACATTCTGCTGTTTAGTGGTATTTCTATGAAACCCAGGGATAAATCATCTCTAGCAGGGGAGACCAAGCAGTATCCAGACAGAGGGTAAATACCTTTGTCAGAGGCAGAAAATCTTTCCAGCCTTCATCTCCATTTGGCGGTGGAATAAAGGGCTCCCACAACACCTTAAACTACACATTCGGCATATTGCAAGTGGGGTATTTCAGTCCCAAACACAGGGTTTATTGTATTTAGTAGTGAGCCTATGAAAGCTGATGTACCATTGTGACGCTCTGTACCTCAGGGAAACACCCTACACCCCCATGTTCTTCTTTATAAAATGATTGTGTGGTATCCAATGCAAAGTTTGTCATGTTGGGTGTCCTTGGAAGGCTGATGATACACTGAGCATGGTTGTTATAGTGATGTTATAGTAATTGTTACAGTAATGTTATAGGTTATAATTTCATGTATACAGTTATGAGGCTGAAAATGTATCCTCATGGCTTAAAGCAAGCCCAGGCAAAAACTCTCCAAGAACAGAGAGGCAGTTCACACCTCATCAGGGCATGTATGGGACAAACCCAGCCCAGCCTCACAGGAACAAAGGACACTGGCCTAGGCAACAACAAAAGGATCTGTTAGACCTTGGCTACACTCGCGGATTCACAGCGCTGCCGCGGCAGCGCTGTGAAGCGCAAGTGTAGTCTCGCCACCAGCGCTGCGAGAGCTCTCTCGCAGCGCTGCAAGTCCTCCACCTCTCCAAGGGGAGTAGCTTGCAGTGCTGCAAGAGAGCGTGCAGCACTGCAGGCGCTGATTACACTGGCGCTTTACAGCGCTGCACTCGCTGCGCTCGGGGGGGTGTTTTTTCACACCCCTGAGCGCAGCAAGTGCAGCGCTGTGAATTGCCAGTGTAGCCAAGGCCTTGGACTCTGAACGAGTCACCCCCCTGCCTTTGGTCAGTTTGGGACTGCAATGAGGTAGTGCTCACCTGATTCTGAAAGGTGGGGGGGGGAAGGGAAGCCAGGGGGAAGAAAGGACATGATAAAAGGGAGAGACATTTGCCATGCTCTCTCTCTCTTCCCCTACATCTACAGACACCACACCCAGCGACTGAAGCTATGATCAGAGGGGAGAGCCTGGCTGAAGAGCAACCAGCCAGCCTGTGGTAAGAAGCATCTAAGTTTGTAAGGGCAGTGAAAGTGTTAAGATCAGCTTAGAATACGTTTTGCTTTTATTTCATTTGACCAAATCTGACTTGTTATGTTTTGACTTATAATCACTTAAAATCTATCTTTATAGTTAATAAATCTGTTTGTTTATTCTACCTGAAGCAGTGTGTTTGGTTTGAAGCGTGTCAGAGGCTCCCCTTGGGATAACAAGCCTGGTACATATCAGTTTCTTTGTTAAATTGATGAACGTATATAAGCTTGCAGCGTCCAGCGGGCATAACTGGACACTGCAAGATGGAGGTTCCTAGGGTTGTGTCTGGAACCGGAGATATTGGCTAGTGTCATTTGATTGCAAGTAGCTGGGAGCAGCTTACGTGCCAGAGGCTGTGAGTGAACAGCCCAGGAGTGGGGGTTCTCACAGCAGAGCAGGGTAAGGCTGGCTCCCAGAGTTAAGGATTGGAGTGACCTAGCAGATCACCAATACAGACAACACCAGAGGGGAACGTCACAACCATATTTCCCTCATTCGCTGGTATACTGAGAATATGTCACATGGGATCTGACTTCCAGCTCTTCATAAGCCCTTTTCCCAACAGAATTAGGGCTCAGAATTAGAAATCTGATGAGGTTCAACAAGGACAAGTGCAGAGTCCTGCACTTAGGAAGGAAGAATCCCATGCACCACTACAGGCTGGGGACCAACTGGCTAAGCAGCAGTTCTGCAGAAAAGGACCTGGGGATTACAGTGGATGAGAAGCTGGATATGAGTCAGCAGTGTTCCCTTGTCGCCAAGAAGGCCAATGGCATATTGGGCTGTATTAGTAGGAGCATTGCCAGCAAATCGAGGGAAGTGATTATTCCCCTATATTCCACATTGGTGAGGCCACCCCGGAGTATTGCATCCAGTTTTGGTCCCCCCACTACAAGAAGGATGTGGACAAATTGGAGAAAGTCCAGCAGAGAGCAACAAAAATGATTAGGAGGCTGAGGCACATGATTTACGAGGAGAGGCTGAGGGAACTGGGGTTATTTGGTCTGCAGAAGAGAAGAGTGAGGGGGGATTTGATAGCAGCTTTCAACTACCTGAAGGGGGGTTCCAAAGAGGATGGAGGTAGGCTGTTCTCAGTGGTGGTAGATGACAGAACAAGAAGCAATGGTCTCAAGTTGCAGTGCGGGAGGTCTAGGTTGGATATTAGGAAACACTATTTCACTAGGAGGGTGGTGAAGCACTGGAATGGGTTACCCAGGGAGGTGGTGGAATCTCCATCCTTAGAGGTTTTTAAGGTCAGGCTTGACAAAGCCCTGGCTGGGATGATTTAGTTGGTATTGGTCCTGCTTTGAGCAGGGGATTGGACTAGATGACCTCCTGGGGTTCTTCCAATCCTAATATTCTATTCTATTTTATAATATTCTATCGCACTGCTTTCCTCCTCTCCTGAATGTTGTTCTGCTTCCTTCATCTGACCCCACATTAGGGTGACCAGATGTCTTGATTTTATAGGGACAGTCCCAATATTGGGGATTTTGCCTTATATAGATGCCTATCCCCTCTGGGGGCCGGATTTTTCACACTTGCTGTCTGGTCACCCTACCCCACATAGATCTGAACTTGCATCTTTTAGTCCAGAGACACTGGGCAGGATTCACCTTTGTGCAGTGGGGGCAGAGCGCGGGTAAAGCGCTGCCCACTCAGATGGGCAGGAGGGTGACTGAGGAGACAAGGCGATGGGGGGTAATGGAGAATCGGGCCCGTGCTGAAATATTAAGAGGAGCGTCCCAGCTCTAAGGTGCTTTGCCTCTTTAAGACGCTCCTGCCCAGGCTGCACACGCGTGGCCTCAGAGGGGAGGGGAAGGGGGAGCCCTGGGCTGCTGCTAGGGGCTCCCGGAACCATCGCATCCCTGCCCGGGGGGTGTCAGCGCTCGGCGCCCGCGGAGTGTGGCCAGCGCTCCCGGTGCTGTAGTTGTTGGGGTCCGCGCCGGGGTAAGTGGGGGGCATGTAGCAGGGTGGAGGGGCAGCAGCCGGGTTAACCCAGAGGTGGCCGGAGGAGAGCAGAGGCTGCTCTGCGGCCATCTTACTCAGCAGCTCCCCAGGAGCGACTGAAGTTTCTTACCAGTTCATCGGGGGGGGCGGAAAGGAAAGATTGAAAGGTGGGAATAAACCGAAGGAAGGCAAGTGTGAGCAGTTAACGGCAAGGGCTGCTGAGACCGGCTGTGCGATGCCCGCTCCTGCTTCAGCGACACCCCCCGTGCTCTGCTCCCCTCTCCCCCGTTTCCTCTCCCTTCCCTGGGCTAGACTGGGGCTGCAGCGTTACTGTAGTATCCTTGCTTTCCCCTCTGCCTGCCTGCCCCAGCACCCAACCCCAACTTAAAGGTGAACTCTGCAGCCTTGAATGAGCTCCCTGCTCTCCCCTGTATTCTCTGCTCCCCGGCATGACAGGAGTTCCCCTTGCTCTCCCTTATCCTGTGCCCCCTCTCTTCTGCTCCTGCAGATGAGTGCTGCAAATACAGGCTCTTCCCAGTCCCCCCAAGCTCTGCTCCCCAGCTCCAGCCTGCCTTGCAGGCAGTACAAAGGTTCCCCTGGTTCTCTAGCTTCCCCCTGTGATCTGCTCCCAATCTCAGGTACCCTGTCTTGGAGCATTATAAGCGTTCTCCACCTTTCTCCTCTACTCCCCTCAGAATGCACTTCAGCCTTATAACACTTCATCTTCTTGTATTTTTCTTCATACTCTGAATATTGTGCCAACAGTAAGTGAGATGTTAGTTGGCAGTTCTCATGTATACAGCTAGAAAGTGAGATCACCAGTTATCTGTCTAATGTTCCTTTGGGGATACAGCTCCTGTTTCCATACAGTACTAGTAACCTGCTGATGCTTTAGATGTATATTTTCTATGATAAAAGTCTAGAAGGAATCCTTAAATCTGACTGGCTTTGAAAAGTCAAAGGGTGTCGATATCCTGGCAGTACCTCAGAACCAGTTGGTAGTGGCTGACTTCAAAATGCCATTAAAAACTGACATTCATTGATGTCTTAATAGAAGCATTTTAAATATTACAGACCGCAAGGCTCTGTTAGAAGTTAAAGGCTATGTGAGAAGCTAGCTTCTCTCCGTCTGCAAGGTTTTACATGCTCAGCTTTCCGCATGTCCAAATAAAAGTATTAAGTCTTCTCACTTACACTGATGTGACTCCTCTAACTTCAGCAGAGTCCCACACCTGGCATGAGCATTAGGCCAGTGGTTCTCAAACTTTTTTACTGGTGACCCCTTTCACACATACTGGTGACCCCTTTGAGTATGACCCCCTTTATAAATTAAAAACACCTTTTTATATATTTAACACTATTATAAATGCTGGAAGCAAAACGGGGTTGGGGTGGAGGTTGACAGCTCGCGACCCCCATGTAATAACCTCGTGACCCCCTGATGGGTCCCAACCCCCAGTTTGAGAACCCCTGCATTAGGCCCATACCCTTTTAAAGGGATAAGCTCTCATTTATCCTGATGTGAATCCAGAGCAATTCTATTGGTGCTATGCCTGTAGGGTTTGGTGGGGGGGCTGGGAGAGAAAGAGGAGAGAGTGTTTTGTTTCCCCCCTCTCCACCCACATACATGCTCATAGGGTACCATGATGATGACAGCAGTATAAAAATATAGATTTAGACTAGATTTAGGTAGGGGTACATTGAGAGGGAGCAAGTACCTCTCTTTAACATCAGTGACTGCTTCATCTGAAATTTATTTTTTAAAGGGACACTGCCAACATGTTTTTATAAATAGAATTTTTTTTAAAATCTATGTTCTTTTAAATAACTAATTTTAAGCTTCTTTTAAATAACCAATTGTTTTTCAATTAAAAGAAATGTCCTTTATAAACGTTTTTCTGTTTCCTTGCCGATGCAAGGGAGAAACTGACTAAGGTCCTGATCCTGCAAATGTATCTATTCGGTCAGTCTCTGCATGTGTGCAGAGAAAGTTGCAGGATTAGAGTCTAAATAACTGGCCATTCAAGAGAACAGATGGGGGAAAGGGGTGTTAAAATGATGATTTTTGCTACCTTTTTCAGTTAGAGCCATTTTAGGTGTAGCTTGGAATTATAGAAGGTAGACAATGTTCAGGCTGAAATGTGACTTTCAAATTGATGGTGCCTCTTTGAAAAAGAAAATAGGGTCATTTTACCATAAAAGAAGGTTGGTTTCCTCTGCTAACTATTCCCCCCCACTCTGATATCCTATACGTTTAGCTTGTTGATGGCAGTTAAATGTTTCTGGCATTCTCAAATCTATAGCTCTAGGACAGACCACAGGTGTATTTGATGTCAACTTGATACTTGTGTGTTCCTGGCCAAAGCAGTCAATTGGATGTCAGTGGCAGAACACTAATAAAATCATGATAAAGTATTTTTTAGTTTTCCACTGTATGTTGCAATTCAATTATTAGATGTTTCTCAGTAATGGGAGAATTTGCATCAGCAGTGTTGCAGGAGCACAGGAATAAAAAAAAGGATGGGGGATAAGCACAGAGGAACCCTGTATAGCACTAAGAGTGGCTTGCAAGCAATGGGTGGCAGACTCAGTCAGCTGTGCTTGCCTGCTTCCTGTGAGCTTCTGTTGCCTCTGGAAATTCCTTCCCCAGCCCGTTCTCAGTGAAATCAGAATGATTTAAAATAAAATAACTGAGTGTAAAAAAGATTGTAGATGGTATGACTTGCTGTAAATGAATCTTGTTTTGTTAAGAACAGTAAATGCTGTTTCTGAGGCTCCATGGGTTAAAATTAGAGCTGTGTGTATGGGCTGTCAGCAGAGAAAATGAGTGATTTATCAAAACCATTTTAAATATTGGCTGTCCCTCTGTGCCAATTTAAGGTGAAATACCTCCCAATGCAGACAGGCTGCATGGACCCCTCTATATCACTTTAGCTCCTACTTTCTGACTTAGCAAATTACTTAAACCCATGCTTCATTTTAAGCATGTGAATAGGCCCATTGAATTCATTGGGGCAAGTCACCTGCTTAAAGTTAAGCATGTGCTCAAGTATTTTGTTTGCTGAATTGGAGCCTCACAAGCCAATGCAGTTTGGGGTTGAATTTCACCCTTATGGAGCAAGCTATGATCTGACAGTGCGTTAAAACTTAAAATGCATATATCTCAGCTATTGTACAGAAATTTCTGCAGCGTTAGGAAGGAAATTGAAGATACAATACAAAACCCATTTATCCAATGTGCTTTTTAAAAAAAATCTCTCTGAACCCACAGGCTCTTCATTTTAGGGTTAGATTTTCAAAAAGATGTATTCATCTGTGGAAAAGTGGCAACTGAGCATCTATTTAGAGCTGCAATTGTGTGTACTGTAAATTTTTTTGACAGGTGGCATTTAATAATAAACTATTATATACCCAATAGAGAGCCCAGTGAGTCTGTGAGTAAAATTTTAATTTTGTCATCACTGGTGTTCCAGCTGGATACTTTGATTTATGGAGTTATGCAAATGAAAAGCGGTGTCATTCTGTTTTCTGTTTACTGCTCCTTTAAACATAGAGGAGTGTCTCCTCTCCACCCTCTCCTTGCCACTGCCTATTGCAAGGGCTGCTATAAAGAAGCTGCCATTTTGCATTAAATTTCAGATATAGAGTGTTGTAGAGTGAGACTCTCTCTCTCCAGATGACTTCATATTTGTTCTTTCTTTTATCATTGTCGTTTTCCTTAATCTGAAATAAAATGGATCTAGTTGGAGAAATACATCTGTGCTTTGTTTGTGGGAATCCATAACTGGCATCCAGATTTAGTTAATCCGTTCGTGGTAGAGTGTGCGAAACATTTGCACTGAACCTATTCAAGCCAGGCGTGGATTTGGGGTTTGCCACACTTGTGAACCTCAGCCCATAAATTTCATGAGGGTCCTTAAAGTGTTGATAGAAACCTCTCGCCATAAAGAGCCCTGCAACACCTCACCCTTTGACTCCAGCGTTGCCTTTTGTCTTGCACCATCATGGCTAGAAAGGGCAGCTGGGCTCATGGAATAAAGTTGGAGAAGGAGAGAAAAGGCAACGAAAAACTGGGACACCCAAAACCAAGTCCTCTCCTTCCATTCCGTTCTGTTGCTTCCTCCCCACCCTCATCCACCTAAACCTGCCCTTTTCAAACAAGAAACTAAACTTGGAATGAGACTTGATGAAGTCTGCAGTTCAGTTTCCAGTAAAGATACCCTATAGAGCTCTCCAGTCAATTCCCCTCAGTGCAGCAGCCGAGCTGCGTGGGGAAGAGCCATTTCTGTTTGAAGTCCTGCTTGCTAGCACTTCTGCAGCAGTACTTCAAAAGACAAACCGGTGCTTTCCAGCCCAGGCCACCCCACTAGACAATCTGCTGGGCTGCTTAAGTGTAGGAAGCTGAACTAGGAGCTGTATTAAGGCTCTGAATTGAGTTTCTTGATTGAAAAGGGCAAATTTAGGGGGCGGATGAGAAGGGGGAGGCAGCAAGGAAAGGCTTGTGTGAAAGATGAGTGGCAGTTTTAAAGTGCTTTTTTTCCTTTTCAACCTCTATTCCTGTTAGTCCAGCCCTCTCATGATGTGCTGGAGAGAGCTCTGGGTTGAGGGGGTGGGAAGGGAAGACTTGCAAGAGCCTCTTTCTAATACTTCACCTTCAGAAGGAAGGGAAGATTGGGTGATTCCCTCACTTCCAGTGGAATCACCCCATTTCTGGGCATCACTAGATCTTCCCTGCCAAAGGGAACTTACCACTGATTCTGAAAAGCCAATGTTTTGCCTTTGAATGCATCGGATGTCAGGTAGTTGGTGTTTTTAAAAAAAGATGTCCCAGTGGAGCATGCTGCCTGGATTTCCCTTGCAACACCTGCTCTCACTCTTCACGTACAGGCCAGTGCTATTCAGTGGTGGTAACCATTTCCAGCAAAGTGCCCTGAATAGACAATTATTTTGGGTTGTTTTCCAGGTGGTGTTGCCTTGCTTCTTAGTTCTGCTTTTGAGAC